GGTGGTACACACAATTGTTTCGAGTTATGGTAATACCACTATGAGATGTCATTTTCAATGGATCGCTTTCTTTAGGGAGATATCATTTATTGAGAATTCTATATTATTGATGGTCGGCTAGGTTTTGTCGCAAATGATATCGACCAAAGGGGATCTTTCATTGAGTTGCAAACCTTGCTGGATAGCGGTCGTAATCTAAGAAATGAGCAAAACCCTCATATGCTTATCGTAGTACCGGTAATGAGTCCCTATCGCTGTGCACTTACCACTCACTTTTGTCACCATACTCTACCATCCCATCTTATCGAATGAAACATACTGAACGGTCGAAGCAGCATCATAAATACTGAATGCGCTAGGATTTTGATCGTTAGGTGACCTCTCTGAGGTCCATAATCGACTTTCTTTCAATCGGTGTGTTCTGGTGTTTAGTAGGCTAACATTTCGGAAGGTGCCGAAACCTAATAAAGTTAGCCTAATAAAGTTATACAATCCTGGAAGGCTTGGAAGACAAAACATTCTCTAAGATCCCTTATCTTCTCTTATCGGTTATCGTCGATTACTGTCACCGAGTACCTACGTTCCCGTCATATCCTACATCGCCTGTAAAACCTACGAAATTCGAACTCTTTAGGTCCATGGAAGCAGAAGTTACGAATTCTCGCTTAAACATTTACTTTGTGCAAAACCTGCCCCTGTAGGCAGAATCTAAGTCTGCTACATACCATGTGTGTTCCTATCCTGCCTCTTGTACTCCTACCACTTTTCAACGCTCTGGGTCCACTGGAGCAGGAGTTATGAATATGCGACCTAAAAGTTCTATCGCGCACGCCCCGCCCCTGTAAGCGGAGTCCGGCTCTGCTACCTGCCATAAGTGTTCCCATTCTGCCCCCGTACTCCTGCCAAATTTGAACTCTCTAGGTCCACGGGAACAGGAGTTATGAATTTCCGGTCAAACACACCCACCGACACAGCAACAGACACACTTAGGAATTTATAAAGTAGGATGTTTTCAGGTCATTTTTGCATTGGGTATCGCTTCATATGGCATGCACAAATATAACATTGATGAAGAAACATTCTACTGTTCTGCAGCTACTACGGATACTATCAGTGACACCACAACGACTGGCTATTTGATTGTTGCCATGGAGGCAGTTATTCTTATCATGTTTGGAATGCTCTACATATGGAATGTGAAAAGAGAAAAAAGGTACATTTTTACGGAAATTTGTGCTCCTTAGGAGGCTCAAACTCTATAACAAATGTCGATGGCTGTAAACAGGACCGAAAGTTCAGTGTGAGAACCCAGCTCTTACAGTGACTTTACGGTGGAATAAAATGCAATGGCCTCACGTATACGAACGAACTCTGTTCGAATATTTAAAACCTCAACCGGTCACGTTTACGAATCACGGGTGGGATGTGTCGCTCAGACAATTCGTCTGAGCGGACACCGTCAGAGTCGAGCGATGAGCGTTGAGCGCGCAGCACTGGGTGCTGAGCGCTGAACGTTGAGCGCTGAGCGTGCAGCGCTGGGTGCTGAGCGTTGAGCGCGGAGCGTTGAGTTGAGTTCACTCCACCGCTGAAAGACATGTTATTTCCCAACATAGCTATGTAGGGCTCTTTCGTAATAATATATTATACTTTCGTCACATTAAAACACAGTAGCTAAAGAAGAAAAGATCAAATCCAGATAGAAAAATTCAAAAATTTAAGAAGTGAATTTTAAACCAACGAGAACCGGTCGAGAAATTGTCCACCTCCCACTCTTACGGTATCGTTCGTCGAACGGCGTTGTCAACAAAGCGCGCGCCAACGCTCAACGCTTTACTCTGAAAAATGTCAGCAAGTATGCGAAGCTAGAGTACTTAAAGAATCTGGTTTTCATTTTGAGTTTTCGTTTCTAATATCTGACAGCAGAATGAGCATTATTGTAAACTGTTCTTTCCCTATTGAATCATGAATTACGTCTCTCAAACAAATCCCTAGTGGGCTTTATCTCAGAGTTACTCATTCCAGCGCTTCGTATGATTTCTGCTCCAAGTATCAGAATAGAGAGAATTTGGCCGTACTTCGGCTACTCATGCCTATGGTCCTTCTACATTTTGTTATATATTCTTGCTTCATATCAGCGAATACTATTGCATCCTCTATACGACACCTATTTGACTCTGATTCAGCGTTCAGAGCCTATATATCTGCAGTCTATGTGAGTTCTTTTGTATATGATCTGGTCTTTTGGTAAAAGTGTAGCTGAAGGAGTTACTCAACCGTGTTCTGCATCCCGGACGCTAAAACAATATTATATCCCTACAAATCTCAGACTAAAGACATTACTGATCTACTAAGAGTTTTGTTGCTAATTCAATTGTAGATGCATTATTGGCATGCATACTGGAGTGCATGCCCATAGCTCGCTGCGCTTTCTATCTAGTTATACCGCTGTGCGCCACTTCTTACAATGTCCTGGTTAGTTGACTCGCCGCGTGAAATCTCGTCCCGTTACCCATGGGTGTATGTCGATGGATACGGCACACCTATGAGTAATTTATGAGTTATGTCCTTTTTAGATCGTTCCTGTCTACACGGTATTCTCTCCTTTGCTTTTATGGTGGATTGTGAATCAACATCGCAGAATCCGCACCCAACAACTCAATAATATGTCATCAAAACCGAAGAACATACACGATATCTATTTCTCCAGTTATGCAGAGGCATGGAGTCGCTAATAAAATGACCCAATTCTAGTTTGGAAATATATACTCTACCAGTGTAGTCTTAAACCTCATCGCATTGTAGTCATCGCAAATGGAAAAGATTAATGGGAACATCAGTTTGGACGAGTTATATCTATTTCATTAAGCACGCATATGGAACTCGGACCAAGCATCCATCTACTCTTTGCCGGCCAAATCAACTTTTCAGTTACCTTCGGTCCTTGGTCGGAAGGTCAAAGGGCTACCGAATCGACATTTGCCAAACCGATGAAGCTGGCTGACCGTGGCTACTTTGCTTGTACCGAGGCGCTCAAATTTTGAGCGTCTGACAGGGTTTCAGTATGATCTTATGCACTCTTGATTTGGTAATAACATCGTTTCAAGCAAACTCGTCTCCTATACGGGTCTTCCACATCCTATAGAAGAATTCGTCAAATAAGCTCGTCTCATGATCGATAACCTACCGCTAGGGGTTCATGTCTTCTGTAAATTATGGGGATCCATTCTTCCCCAATTTTCTCGGCACCACCTCTTTTGTAGAACTGGATTAATTTTTAATGTTTATTAATTATAACGATAATTTAATTTACCAATACAACGAATGGGTGCACAAATTACTATGGGTCTCATCGGTGACGAATGGGTCGAATATACAGTTAAAATTCGTCCATATAGATCCAATCACAATAATCGCATATGATTATCCTTGTTGTTCGTACAAACAATTAAATAAATAAAGACATATATGAAACAATTAAGTCATTATATACATCACTTATAATCTCCTCTATAGGAACTGTTGCATATGGTACGGCATGAAGTTTTGCGGTTGAGGCTGTATCTAAATAATTCACTTCATGAAAAGCTGAACAAACCAGTGAAGGTGATAAAACTCACTCCTTGGAGCATGGCGTGTTGTTGGTCAACAATTTTCCCCAGCACTCTCCAAGCAGACTTCAGGGCGTTGTGGCCGAAACCATGAGTTAGCTAAACGAATGGGATAACTCTTTCATTTTGTAAAACTACTCGAGAACTGATTAGAATATGGGACCATTCTACACTGATACTCTCGTTCGATCAGAAAATCTGTTCAGTTAATGTTTGTTGCTGTTCGTTTCTTTTGTTTTCTCTCTCATAATGGTTCCAAAACAACCAAAACAGATACCCCTACTCAGCAGGGCCAAGCCTCTGCTCACAGTGCGAGCCAAGTGCTAAGGAAGATTCAACCTGCGACCGAGAACTTTGACTTTGAAGTTAAGCTTCTAAGGTATAACTTCGCCAAAATCCCTGTTGTTCTTACCATACTAAATATATTAATAGAATGGGTAGCTGAATTCTTCTCCACGTAGTCCTCCGGGTCTTCCGGTACCTCGTCGAAGATAGCCATGATACCAGCCAAGAAACGTCTGGAAAGGATTCCTTTTACTTCATACACCTTCACTGTAAGTAACCCTATCATACCTGACGATAGCCAGCTCCTGTGGAGTGTACTGAAGTCGATTGGAATGCCGGGCAATTTCAAAAGTATTTAAGCTGTTGGTACAGAGGGTATTGAAGTCCCGAGCCATTACAAGCGCCTCTTCTGAAACAATTTCATCTGTTTTCAAATTGAAGAATCTTCCAGAATCAAGTTGAACCTACTCTCGCAGAGCGCTGTGAATGACGTCGTTGGTGCAGTCTTTCTTCGCCCCGACGGAAGTGACACCCCCTTCTCTGCAAGTCTGTCACGCAACATCTTACAGCCGTCCTTTGTCTTCGCCCTGAAAAAAGCAAAACTAAAACGTATTAACAACTTAATTTTAAATACTCGTCAAATCAGTTACAGTAACCCACTTTCTGAGAACACCATTGATAAGACTAGCGTGCAACGTTTCTGGATGGCTCATGCGGCGATGGATTTCGCTCAGCGTCACCTATAAACTCACTCTAATCAGTTTATCATAAAATGAATTCCAAGAAATGCAATTGCTCGCCTCTCAGTAGCAAACTTCCAGAATTGATAAGATTACTTGCTCGAAAAGGGAAGTAATTCGATTTACAAATGAGATCAAGGATGCAAAAAATTGCATCCTTCCAACGATACCTTGTATTTTGTAGAGGCGTTTAGCAGGCACAACCTTCCCGGTGCTTCGTCGAACACTTCCAGAGGATTTACATTAGACGTTGTAGGCTTAGCTTCTGGAAAAGTTGATATATACGTTCCTTTGCTGTCCTAACAAGGAGTGAAACTTCCTACCTGGCCTAGTAGGTAATGTCTGCTCGTTGTTTTTGAAAATAGACCCATGAGTGCTCGATTCATCCTAAAAATTTACGTTACCCATTCTTTTTTGGAAATCGACTGCATGTGATTTTAAAAATATACCGAAAGTATTCCACTATCAGAAGACATTGAATTCGGTTCCATATACGACATGGCAGGCTGATGAGGGAAGAAGTTCGGATAGAACGACATCTGAAGCCAAACTTTTTAAAAGAAATCAAGGTACAATTCAGCAGCCTCCTAATTCCTAAAAACTGGAATTGTCCTACAATCATGGGAAACACGCGCACCTGTGGGGCCATGTTGGGATTGAAGAAATCGCGTTGACCCGCCGTTAGCGGGGTACTTTGGTACATTGGGGGAATCTGTAAAAAATAAAGATTGTTTATGGTAAAGAATGATAAAAACGAGGAATACGTGAGTTCATTCTGCATACCATTGCCATTTCTGGAGAACAGTTTTCTTTGTTCCTGTCATCCAAACGTTTCGCAGGATCTCCACCTGGGTTCATGTCATCGAGGGGTCTTTTTCTTGACCGCATCTAAAATATCAAAAATTTTACCGAACAAATCTTTTAATTATGGCATAGGGATTCACTACTATCCGAAGAAGCTCCGTACCTGATTCCCAAGTAACTGCTCCGCATGTATCGCCTGACTGAACTGCAACTGCTGCTCAGCAAACATCTGTATATACATTAAATATTACATTTGCTACAAAAATCGCACCAATGAGAGGAGATTAAGCGTTATTTCAAGTTAAAGCATCAGAAACTTCGAGATAGCAACCGAAAAGTCCTCGACAGAACATCGAATATATTAGGAATGAACTTTCTGAGCATCTACTTATATGAGGTCATCCTCCATATCTTGACTCCACCCTCATTTAATTGGTGTCATAGTTGACACATCCTCGCCCATGGTTCTAGGGCAGGTCCTCCAGTGTGAGGTTGACCTCCAGGTATGGCATGACCGCTTGCCGCTGAAACAGAAACGCGTGTGTCACGACATTCCCTCGGCAATTATAAATAGGCCAATGTTAGAGGTCAGCAATATGACTGACATCTACATACATATGTCCGAAGAACTACATTAAATACTGAACGACTTACCCGTGTAAGTGGGCTTACAAATATTATCTAATGTAGTAGTTGAAAGGCATGTTAAAGCAATTCGCTGAATAATTTTGANATCGAACATTTAAACTTTTCCTATTGGATGTTCCTCGAGTCAAAAGCTATGAAAGCTTAATCGATCGCCAAGGGCTACAGAACAATTAAAATGGTGATGTCAGAAAAATTCAGTGATTGCACAAGTGACAAAATGGAAGAATGGTATGGACAGGATCCCGTTTTTCACCAGACCCCGAACCTGACAGATTCAACAAAAAATTGATCCGACTTACAAGAACTTTATCCAAACTTATCTCAAATGAAGGAACTGGGAAATATTGTCTGCAAAAACCAACAGTGGCGATAGGTGACATAAGCTAACACGACTATAACTTCAGTATATCATTAAATATATGCTAACAACTGTAATCTATAGGTAAAGTGTAAATGTCCGAAGACAGTAGAGCATGTTAAACACTAAGTAACATAACAAAGTAATCAAATGAAGTAAAAGATACTCGTTCCGTTACTTCACTGGACAAACCATTGCCTTTATTTCCCATTAGGCTTACTAGCGTTATGGGGTGAGTGGATAAAGGGAATGGGTAAAATACAGTTCAATATTGTTGTATTGTCTACTGTTCAATACAATCAAATTAGGGAAAGCTGTGAATATATACTATTGATAATTCTTATTTCTGAATATCTTCATAATTCCATATACTAATTGGGCGAAGTCATTGGGATTATCTTTAATAGAGATAAGCGTTCCCATCCCAGAAAAGGTGTTTACAATGATAAATCGGCTATGATGTAAACAAGCCCTACAATTAATACAACCACTAAACTGCCTAAACCGTTCGTTTGATCATCCCGTTTAATACCGTAGTTCTGTCTAAATCTAAGACGATATCACATCGGCGAGCGATTTCTCCCTTCGATTTCCACAGCCATTCACATTAGTGCAATTAGTGTTAGTGCAACCTGAATTCAATTCTATTAGCCAATCGAAATTCGACAGATTGTCCTATATTTCTACAAAAATAAGAAGGACACGAGGAACTCACCTGAACTAAGTCAAGTCCCACTTCGGTTTTATCGTTAACGTCTAGCCTAATGTCGAATCACCGTTCCTAGAGGGCTTGGTGATACCATGGGAGAAGTAATCCCCCAAGTCACAGCAAGCCTGATTGGAAATCGCACCTATTGCTCAACATCGAATAAGACTTCATGTCCCGAGGTGATTTTTACATGTTTCCAATGAGTTCTGGTTGTTTTTCTGTTTTCCCGTTCCATGCCTATCCTGTGTGAAACCTTACTTCAATTAATTCCCCGCCAGAGTAACGGAGGGAAGTAGCAGAAACAATTCTTGTATCTAAGCACTCATCGAGCCCTATCTCAACACCTTCTTATCTTCTGGTTCCTGATGTGAACTGAATGGAACGGCCATTTCCGCACATCAATATCTGATAGCCTGCCTTTTCAAGGGCCGCGTCAGGGCATTCTTCAACCCTTTGGTGTCAGCTATTAACACGGATCTGCCCCCATAGAACTGCCGCCTCTATAGGTGTGAACTGTGATAGCAACCAAACACCTCGGGATTATGTCAATCATTTGAATAAATTCGCTGTTCCCAGTTCTCAGGACCATTTAACATGTACCGCAGGTGTTGAATTGTAGTATTCTCTGAGTAAGGGGGTGAAATAACTTTTGCAATCCTGAAAACGAGCTCTTATAGTGTCTTTCAAATTTGAGCGTCCCAAACAGTTTGAGGGAAAAGCGGACCATCTCTTAAACAGAGTTGGCCAATTAGTAATGGTAGTACTTCGAATGATGTAATAATTACTTGGAAATTAAAGCGATAATCGCACTGATATTGCTCCACAAGTGTAAATCACATAAATCGGCACTATTATCTATCAGAGTCTACCCATCTACTTCCCTATTCATAATACATCCTCTACCATGTATAGCATTTTCTTACATATCTTAGCAACAACGCATAAAAACGTTCAGAATAATACCTCACAAAAACTTTTTAAATCTTTATACAGGAGGTAACAAACGATTTCTTTAAATCCATGAAAAACTGCAATAATACACAACAATTATCAAAAGAATTACAGCAGCGATAAAAATCTCCTTACTCTTACAAGGCGATGGCACATAGACTTCAGCATATTATCGTGTTACACCAAAAGTTAAACTTTCCATTATCGTGTTGCACCCGAAATTGAATGTTCCATTATCTTTTTGCACCCGACATTGAATTTTTAAAAGAATGGTGGTGAACAATTCTAGGCTAATACAAGCTCCCAGCTTGCCTAATCGCTGTTCAATAAATTATGATTATACTTATTACATCATGAATAGTAACTAGGTTCTTCAACATGCTTAAAACAAGCACTGATGACGAACGAAAAACTGATAATTTTAATTCGAGGTCAGTGGAGGCAGGAATATCTCCAAGGTATGAGCATTCTCATTTTCCAGTTGGCGACAAGAGGCCTTAGCAATGTTAGCGTTTTCAGGAAGTTTTCGAATCACCCTGATATATCTGAAAAAAAAANAAAAAAAAAACAATTACCAAAAACAGGATCTTTACAGTGATTATTTGTCATATTATTCAAACCAAGACGCAGCTATATTATGACAAGATTTGCTAAATTCTGAAAGATTTGATCCCAGTATGGGAGAACAGTTGACTCACAAGCACGAGTTTCGGGCATCAATACTCTAGGTATGGAGGTCGCTGGAGTGCGCTTGCACAGTCAAGTATGGCATATAAGCTGCGGTCAACTATTTCTTCGTAAAACCAAATCTAGTACCTGAGCTTTCCTTCTCGTTCCTTTTGGCAGACCACAAAAATGTAGCCATTGCGGACATAAACAATGACGTCTGTGTGACGCACGCCAGTAATTCGTATAACATCTCCTTTACTGCCACAATCCACCATTTAAAAGAGAATTTGAATCAGACACAGGTTGATACGTTGGGTATCGATACAACGTTGACCGATATTTCGACACAATGAAATTCAATTATTAGATCGAAACATTGCAAGTGTACTCACAAGAATAGATGGTAGAGAAATGACGGCTGGAGGCTGGATATTCAAAGCTGAGTCGTTTTCATTTACAAACATTGGGTCATCACAGCTTTCCTCAGTGCCTTCGTGGCTAACAGTCACATCCTCTTCGAAAGGTAAAATGTTCCGTTCCCCTATTGAAAATAGCTCAATTATAAGAACAAGTTGAAAATGAACTTACTTAGAGTGGGCGACAGCTGCGACTCCTCGTTTAAGTTGCTCAAATGTGAATTTGGAGTTCTGGTGTGGAAGGGCGGTAACACTTCACTCACCATCTATAAGTTTATTTGCTTCTAGAACGCCATCAATGAAATACAAAAGATTCTGGAAGCATAAAAGGTATGCAGTCTACTTGTTATGGATAGATTACCATAAGTTGACCCTTGCATGTTACTCTGGAGGTTGCGCGAATGTGAAGTGTTAGTAAAATGCTCGAAGAGTCCTAGAGAGGTCAATCGGAAACATTTTACTGGTAAGTCCACTAGTAATAATTTTTATATTTTCTCAATTTGAAACCACGTCCCTATTCTTCAATTGTCTCCTCACCAAAGATTTCTCTACAAAAGTTTAATTCACGAATGATGCTTCGTGAAAGCACTAATAACGTTAACCCGCTCCACGTAGCTTCCACGATTTCACCGTGGAACTTCGTTATTCGCCTCTCACGGAAGAATGACCGAGAACAGAACCAAAGTCTTACGTGTATGATGTTCCTGATAGATGCTAACAGCTGGTATGCGAATGCAGGTGCATCTCCGATTTTAGAAACAGATTGATAATTTCAGACAAATGACAACGTTCGTTTGCTCATAAAATAATCAAAGAGTTCGAGAATTAGTATAAAAAACATACGGAACATGGATGAGTGCCTGCGGTAGTCTGCTTCTTATGGTGATCATTCGAGTTGACAGCACCAGCGGAATTCCCCAGGATGAAGTCATTTTTATGCCCGCATGAGTTTGGAACAATTGTGCAAAAGGGGTTGTTGCCAGCTGTGAAGAAAGGAAATGGATGATCCTGAAATAGCATTGTTCTAATTATAATAGTTTTAACAACGGTTAGACTCGTACGTCGATGCATTGGTCAAGTAAAGTCAATGTGTGGTAACAAACCTAATCGGCTCTGGATACAAGATGCACAATTCATACTGAAAGATCGAATGAACTTTAACAACTGCACTATATACTTCTGACCTTTTCTATGTATGCGTACCCACAATTATTTCATTTCTGATCTTGTACATTATTTATATACTTGCTCCGTTTCCTAGCTGAAGGTTTATAGGTTTGATTTTTTTTCTAATGGCTACTTTCAGACTTCAACGACGCAAACGACGAACGCGCGTCGGACCGACGGCGCGCTAGCCACTTGTTGACAACATTGGCGTGTGATCCATCGGCGTCCAGCGTTGTCAACACAGTGCCAGCACCGTCACGCGCTCGTCGGTTGCGTCGTTGTAGTCTAAAAGCAGCCAATGGATGAATCCACAGCACTGTCGCAGACGCCTGCGTTGATAACGCTGAGTTCTCGACACGNCGCAAGTCAATGACTATTGCTACAATGAATAATTTGTATCGTTCAAAAAGCTATTTTCGCCTCTCTTTTCTCTGAATATCAACTGGTTGGAAACAATACATTGATCGGGCCTCAGTTTCCCTTTTTTTGCTGTTGGTTCACGTGTTAATTGAATGAAGATGATAATGAGTTCTATTTTTGCTACTCCTTTGCTGCTGATCCACAAACATCTATGGGACTAACAGTAATATTTTTGTTGCTTTTGAGAGCACACGTTCTCCATGTCGAACGCTTAGAAAGGCTTCAAATGCAGCATGAGTTTCGGCTTGTGCGATATCGATTGACAGCCAACGAATGCGCTCTGAGCCGACTGTGACGTCGTGGACGTTTATACTTTAAACACAAAAAAATCCGAAAAGAATTGTAAAATGGTGTCTTAGTAAGGGAACACGCTATCACCACACTACGCACTTTCGTTAACTCATTCGGAAATATGAGAATATCATAAAAAGTTTAAAACCTACACAACTCCAGTTCAATCCGCATGGTAGAACAGGATATGGAGCCGTTGAAAGCAGATTTGAACAATTTGGCATTTGCCCAGCAACATATGGTTTGAAAGCACTTCCAATTCCGCATTTCATATTGGAATTCGGTTTTTGAAGAATGCTAGCTATAGAAAATGGTAGTTCTCTGGAGCCAGACGTCAATGAGAGTCCTTTGGAAGAAGCAGCACTAGCCTTAGAGTTGACCTGAAAGAGGTGTTTTAGGCATGTTCAACTCAATATCAGAAACGAAAATAGTCAAAATACAACACATCCGCTTCATACATAATCGCGAAAGAGTTAGTTACTAACAAAATACAAAGATTTACGTAAGATTAGGTCTTCTACATGATGAAAAGCAAAAGGGGAATTTATGTCACTAGTGCTCTTCGGATGCAGTCTTTTATTTTTATCATGATGTTGAAAACAGCGAGTTGGAGATTGACTTCCACTACGCGATGGTGTAAACAAAATAATTATTCAGTGGGTAATATCCTTGGAGCTCGCCCGCAGCCAGCCCCTAACCCGCTAAACCTTTCCTTTCTATGATTTGAAACAGAGCCCTAGACACAAGCGAAGCCACGCCAATTCTGAGCTTGAAAGGAAGGAGTGGTCTCCCGAACAAAGACTTCACATGAACGAAGTGACAAAGCCGAAATCAGAACAGTACATCGTATGTAGGGCGAGACAATGCAAAACAAGAGTATTAGCCGTTTTACGTCACCGAAATGGTGAAATAGAAAATCTTAGCGCGGCTACTTCCTTTAAAAGCTTGATTGGAGGGAACAGCTCGTAAAGTTAATCTCTAGTGTTGCTCTCAGTTCAAGAGAAATATTCTGAGTTTTTTTAAACCTACTCACAAGAGATGGCTGATATGATTTACTGGCAGCGCCTGATGATGGTACAATCTTTTCAGTAATCTCTCGTTGTGAAACTTCGGTGTCTCTGCTGTCACTACTTTTCTTTGGAGGGGGCTCACGCAGTTCCAGGATAGCTGAAATACCGAATTGGCATAAAAATTAGTAAAGGTGACACTAACTCACATGTTTGCTCATTTTTGCGTGGAATGCCGCAAAGGAAAGTGTAGTCATCCACATCATCGCTACCATGCGGTATAGGTGACCGCGTCTAAAACTTCGGATTCATAAGTAAGTGCATCTTAGTGCTGAGTACTTTTCTTTACGAAGAGCTCAGGCTACATTCTACTCTTTCTGCTACCTCTTTGTTCCATTCAATGAATTATCATTTTTCAATTCTTGTGCACCGTTTTCCATTTTTTCTCTTCCTTACCAAATCATTTCACCCCTGTGGATTTCTTTTCAAAAAAAAA